TTGACCGCGGCTGTACCTTTCAAGAGATCAATCAGCAATGCAATTGCCACGGAAAAGATGCCCAAGTAACGTTACGCACCCGTGCACAACGTTCGACTGGGGGAACTTCACTGAGTGAAGTCGCATGATTTTGTTCAACGTCCTGCCTGCAGTTTCGGTCGGAGTCTGCTTATGACCCGAACCCGCGTTATTAACTTGAGCCTCGGCGAACCGAATACGTGTATTCTATTTTCCTAGAAAGTTACGCACGCCCGTTCAGCCAATGAGACGATGGATATCGCGGTCCTCCGTTTGTGGTAAGTCAAGCCATGCACATTAAACAGGTACGAACTATAATTCTGATATTGAAAACGAAAACTTGAAGACTGCAGCCCTTATTTGTCCAAGTTCGTTTACGCAAATAAAAGCGAATCTTCACCGTGTTATGCGGAATACCAATCACGGGTTGGCGTTCGGCAAGTGTACATTATTCTCCGTTTTACAAGTGCGACCGCAGCCAACGTATGCCGAGAGCAAGTCGTCTGCTTCTAGCGCGGGGGTTGCGGTGACGTCAGAACGACGCCGAGTTCTGATTGGCTCTGGTTGGAAGGATAGTGGGCAGACCTCAATCCTAGATGCCTCGAGGTCTACCCACTATTTTGTTTTCAATCAGCCAATAAGAGGTCGGCGTTCTGACATCATATCGCAACCCCTGTGCAAGAAGCAGACGAACTTGCGCTCCGCATACGATCCGAAGGAGCCAATCAAGCAGCGCCAAAAGTGCATCGTCATGGCGCTCTTCACCTTTGAGCGTTTACTATCTCCGGCTAAAGCAACCACGCACAATAAATGCAAAGTAAACCGGCGTTGTTGTTTTGTTTGTTTTTTGTGTATGCGTGATTGGTTTAGTTGGCGGTAGCAAACGCAGAAAAGGCGTGAGCGCCGTCACGATACACTTTTAGCACTGCCTGATCGGCCCCTACCGGATCGTGTACATTGGCTGGGGTTGACTAAATGCGCAGCGAAATTTCGTCTGCTACTTTTGCAGGGGTTACGCTGACGTTAGAATGCCCAGCTCTGATTGGCTCTGATTGAATGATTGTGCGCGTAGACCTCGAAGCAAGCTGCCCTGAGGTCTACCCACTGTCCTTCCAATCTGAACCAATCAGTTTGTCGTCACCATAACGGTCGCAAAAGAAGCAGACGAACTTGCTCTCTGCGTACTGCAGAGTGAGCCATAACTAACCGCGTCTGAGCTCAAAATGGTATTTTGAGTGAATCCTTCCTTATCTGCGCGAACAGAATTCGCACGACTGACGTCTCGCGCGCGTTGTATGGCGGCGCGAGTGTACAATGCTGTGAAAAGACTGACGGTGCGTCCGATCTGCACGGATTTTGCGTTTGATATACACACTTTCTCGCGTATCAATGTCAGATGAAGACCCCGCGCTCGAGACAGTGCCTTTTACAGCGGTATGCACTCCATGTGAAATGGTGTTAATTTGTGTTGCACGCGTCTATACGAGTCCGGCGTGTGTTTTGATCTAATAACAAATATTATAGTTATCTGCATAGTATTAAATATATTTATGCCGTTATTGAAGACTGTTACTTTCTGTACCTTCTGTGCTCGAAACATGTTGTACATCAGCACTAGATTGGAATTCCAAGACGGGGAATCCCTTTCTGCAGCTTTTGAGCACGCGATTTGGTAGATTAGAGATTGTTCTATTGAACCTCTAGCAGCGCCTCTATGTATTTAGCATAAACTATTGGTGATGCTTGGTTCCCTCCAGCGCAAAGCGGTCTCTATGAGGGTCGTAGGCGTGTTAACAAGTTTCGAAGGCAGCGGTAGTTTCCATTGATGTTGAGGTGTGTACCGATCGGGTCTATACCATCGAGTTTCTGAACTACCAAATGCATCTGGCATCTGAAAGCGCTTCCTATGCAAAAGGCTGAATTACGATCGGCCTTGGTCTTGATGTGTTCGGGGGCGCGGGCACATCTGCTCTGCTGCACGAAACTGCGTTTGGCGGCGATGTGCGGTGCACAGAAAGCCACGCACATATAGTGAACAGATAAGCACGTGCGTTCTTACATCCCTTTACACACGTCAGCCGCTTCCTTGCAGCAAAAACAATAAAAAAATAAATTACGCAGGTACGTTCTGAGTTTGCACACTTCTAAGAAATGTGAATGGTGCAATATATGTGTTTAATACCGGCGATAATTGATTATAACAACGTCAAACCTAGACTTATGAAAGAGTTTCTTGTTTGTTCTTTTATAGAGCCACCAAATGAGTTAAAAAAAGAAAACCTCTCGAATACACATGCTAGTCAAATTTTCGTCAATTCAAATTATCCGATATACTCCAAATCTTAAAATCACAACGTCTAAAAAGAAAACCGGTAAAATAGGTTTGGTACATGATCAATCAATGATCCTGAGCGGAGGCCACCCCAGTTCCCTTTAAAATCTCAGACCACTGACAAAAGGGGCTATCCTGTTTATCTCCCCAAATGTTTCATTCGGGACCATGGGTCGTTGTACGTGTGGGCCACGACAAAAGTTACTTATGGGCCACAACAAAAGGAGGGGTTTCGTTTTATAAGACTGAAATCTATTTAACGCGTATATTTCCTTGGACAACTGAAATCACTTCAGCACTCCATTCCGCGCAGCAGGCGGAGTGTTGAAATAAGGTGGAAAGGAAACGATCTACCCAACGACTACGTCCAGGAGTTTGCTGATTCTAAAATATCGACGTCTATTAAAGCAAGCTTTTTTTTTTTTTTTGCGTTTTATCGTAGGACTGTAATATCAATGGTAAGGGAACCAACACCCAATCTAACTAGAGAAATGACGTTCGATACACTATTAACGTATTTATTTATTTATTTACAGAAACAACCTGCAGCGCCGTAGCATTATAGCAGGGAAACACAAAATAAAACACATACTCACGAACATAAATACAATGGCAAAAATACAATAAATGCTGTTAAATAAAAGATCACACACAAACTCTAGAATGTTAAAAAAAAATTTAGGATCTTTGACTTTTTTTCTTTTACATTTATGTCGGGATCTTTTTATTTATATTTTATTTTGTTTATTGAAAATTTGGGAACGACAAAATTAAACTCCGAAGTATACAAAATTGAAAATCTATCCAAGAATATACTTTAAAAAAATATCCGATTGAGGGCAAAAAATTAAACTCCTAAAAAACACCCTCCGAATTTCACAAAAAAGTAAATTCTGAAAACACTGAATTTTATATATACCATAACAGAATAAAAAAATAATACAGGGGAGAACACGTTTGTTTTCACTGTATCGGGCCGCATTCTAATGAAACCGCATGTATACTTTCTCTTCCTGAAATATAAAGTGGGTACAAACGCCACAAACCTATATCTCAAGTATGTATAATCAGTTTCTGTTGTCTCGTGTGGCAGGATATTTATTTATTCATCCTTCATTTTTGCAGCACCTAACAGTGTATAATAATAAACACATTAATAAAAAGAACCATTTGGCGGACATGAAAATTAAACTAGGGGGAAACTTCGGCCATAAAAATACAAGGGACCAATGTTCGCGAAGAATCCAAGTAGCTTTAAAAGTGGACAATCCCCATTTTAAGATCACCATTTGACACTACTTGAATCCCCATTTGAAGATCCCCAAAGAAGTCAGCAAAAAAAAAAAACAATGTTAAAGCTTTTTTTTTTTTAAAACACCTTCGCAAGATTACATTTGGAACTATCGGTAATCTTGTACAGTCCTGTTAAGTTGGCTTTTAGTAAAAAGCTTGTCTTAAATAATCTCTCCGATAAAAAGAAATAATAATTTAGACCCACGCCTCACAACTCGACAGGGCGACACGCATCGAATACCGTCGTACTCAGATCGGCTTTCTTCTGTGTGGCCCCTTCAATAATCCGACTCCATACATCAACGTAATAAACTATCTCCTCCGACGCAGCGATGGACCAAAAGCAGCTGCGTCTAACTTGACACACGAGGTCAACGAACCTAAGGCGTTCGTAAAAGAAACGTCACTGGCCTCGACGAGGTACGTTTTGCATGCAAGGCCAAGGACTGCTTGCATGCAAAAAGATGCCGAAATGGTGTTTGAGGGGTGCGACTTACTTCCCGTTTTGTTGGTGCGTTGTCGGGCGCGTGCGAATAATGGACTTTCACGAGATCTCTTCCACGCCATCAAACTCCTTGTACTTTGAGGCCCGACAAAGCACTAACGTCCAACAACAGAATGGCGGATTTATGTCATGTGAAAACACCTGCACAGAGACGTCATTGGGACAGACACGCGCTGAACGCATGTTCCTATAGAACAATCCAACACAAAAAGGATGTACGCGATGCAATCCGTGTTGACATAGATATATATACTGACGAAAGGAATCATCTTATTTCGTGATCAGATTACTGGGCCACGACACATTACATGCCTATTCCGACGCCACTGAGAATAATGTTTCTTCTTGAAACGCAACACCGCATGCTTTCGGAGATTTAGAACTAGAACAACTGAACTTGCGTTAGCGATTGACAGCTCTAAGGTACTCGTCGTTTGAGAGCTTTCAACATGGGCGTGTGTTCCACGTGCGTGAGCACTTGCCTCGAAAGAATAACCACGTCTCACGGGCACGTTCGCTGTAAACGCACATGCCGACGTTATTTCAAGCAACGACTTCGGAAACTTTGTCACCTGTTCCGACAACGACTTCGGGACTTCGGAACAGTCCGAACGGCACCATCGACTCGATGAACGGGCAGATAACGCGTGAGCGTACACACCAATATCAGGCACACAAACAAAAACCAAAGGGTTCAACAACCGTCATCATTTCCGCTTACGCGAACTGGAATCCTCACTCCAAGCAGGTCTCCAAGCCGGCGGCCCCGACCACCGTGGCCCCGACATTCGCCTTGACAGATAGGCGCGACGCTATCGCCCGCCGCACGCGCGCTCTGCGAGTGGCACTTACCTCCGGGGGCGGCCCTGAAGGCTGAGTTGGTGGACACGGCCAGGGCCCCGATCGGCGCCGTGCCGGGCAGGCCTCCAACGTCCGACGGCAGAACGGGCTCCTCGTCTTCGTCGGGCGGCACGCGCCCCATGGCCTCGTCCTGCGCCTGAGCCCTTCGCAGGGCGACCTGCGCCGCCATCACTTTCTGCCGCTCCACGGTCAGGCTGCACTTGGGGCTGTGGCAGTCCCGGAACCGGCAGTAGCGCTTGTGGCCCTTGACGGGAATCCGGAGCCCGTGGTTGCGGCACCGGGCGCACGTGGGCCTCCGCGCCGCCGCGGGGGCAGGCCCGCTCGAGTTTCCGCTGCTACCGCCGTGACGCCTTCGCGGTCCCAGGTCCGTGGCCTGTTGCTGATGCGTGTCTGCGCGCATGGTGCTGCGAGATCGTAGCAGGTCGTGCGCCTGGCCGCGGTGTCCGTTCATTCCCGACGGCCCGCCGCGCGTGCTCCGGTTTTTGTTTTGCCGCGTGGGGGGGACTCGGGCCTTCCGCAGCGGGACACGCGCGCCGTAGAGATTCAGAAGGCGGGCTCGACGTTCGCTGGCGCGGACGGCGTTGCAACGTGCGCGCGCTCGCGCGGTTGCCGCTGGCGAGCGCGTTTTTCCAACGGCGCGCGCGGCATGCGGGGCACAGTCACGTGAGCGGCGATGGAACGCGACGGTGGCGGCCGCTGCTGGCGGCTGGGGGAGACGATGGGGCTGCGCGGTGCCGTTGTGCTGTCCAGTGATTAGCGGGATAAATTAATGGCCGCGATAATAATAATTTTATTTACGTCATTGAGAATGCGGGGGGGGGGGGGGGGGAGAAAAGAAAAGCTGTGCGTCGGCTTCTCTCGTATCCTGACAGACAGTAGAGATGATAAGCTATCTGGAGAACTGTAAACTGAATGTCTATGGTATACACGCGAGAAGGGAAGCACAGGGAGCGTTTCATGAGAAATACGCGCAGATGTAAAATACGTGAATATTAAACATCCGCGAGACAGCCCGCGTGCGAAATATAACGGTAAAACGGGAATACACTAAGGGGGTGCGAGAGATGAGCGCAAGAAACACGAACAGACATGGCTAAACAACTGCTGCATACAGCGATATTAAAGCATCAAAGATCACGTTGCAGTGGGGGAAGATAAGCAACACAATATACACCCTTCCGGGATTTACAAGTCCTCAGCCCATGGCGTGCGGTCTCCTCAGCCCAGCACGCGCATGTTGGTCGCTTCGGAAAGCGAGCAAATCACGCGCCATACGCACGAACACTTAAAATGGAACCGGCCCGGGGCTCGATCTACACTCGCCAGACACAAAGTTGGGGCCGACGTTCACGGATCACGACAGTGACTTCGCGCTTTTGTCACCGGCGTCCAATCGCCGCGCTCCGCGATCTTTCGGTTCCAACTTTTGTTTGACGAGACGAAAAAGTGCTTATGCATAAGCAGTCCTTTCTAAAGGTCTACTCTATGTACAAACATAAATGTACGCAGAAATAGTCACAAACCAGACAAATGCTCGAGGATTAGGATTTTTACTCGAACGTGAGTGGCACCTCATCTGGAGCGTGCCCAATAACCTTCCCTTATGAGGATGTGAAGCCCGGAAGTACGATTGCAGCAGCAGCTTCGGGACTGTGAAACTTTACCAAATCTGCAATGGCTATGGCAATGGCTAGCTAAAAATGAACTTCAGCGTCTCTTAGATGCAACCCGGGTTAAGCGGCGTGCGACTTGCGATTCGGCTTGCATTTTGACGCGCGATTCACCGTGTTGGAACAAAGACTCTGCAACAAAAATAAGATGTTGCGAACTCTTTAGGGGGGGGGGGGGGGGGGGGGGTGCTTTTGAACACGGATGATTGGCACGGTGGCTACACCTAACGTTGTGAATTGGTAGAACAACCTGTGGGAACGCACTCTGCGGTGGTCTTTCTCTTGAGTCGTAACCGCAGCCCCGTTTGCAGCTTCGACAATGCAACTTAATTTTAAATGTAGATCAAACTGTATATATGACCATAACTAACAAAAAGCAACCCAAATTGTTTTCGTATCATAAAAACAATAAACCCCTGGAGAAGGTCACAGAGTAAAAGCACCTTGGCTTACGTATCAGCTTGACCCCAGTTGGGACTTACTTACACATTGATACTATAACTCAAAAATCGCTAAACAAAGTTTATTTTTTAAAAGGAACCTTAAGAAGTAGATCAACCGATACGAAAACCAGTAGTCCGCCCTATGCTTGAGTACGCCAGCGTCGTCTGGTCTCTGGTGTTAGCAAGTTAGAAAGAATACAAAGAATGGGTGCAAGGTTGATATGTAACAAATATAGTTTTCATGATTGCCCTTCCGAGCTATGTAAGCAAATGTAGCTCTTGTCACTAGAAAAAAGGGCGAAAATTGCGAGGCTCAAGTTTCTATATGAATTAGCTAACAGCAACTTCAACATTCCAACAGAAAATTATCTAACCTCTACTAGTAAACGGCTAACAAGATATAACCATGGTAAACTTTACGAAGAACTTCCAAACCACAATAATTGCTTAAAATATTCCTTTTTCCCCCGAGCTATCAAAGAACGGAATCACTTGCCGCGAAACATCACTCCACTAGTCCAGAACATTTTCTCATTAACTTGGAAGCGCACCTGTCAGGCACGTAGCCAGGAGGAGGGGGGGGGGGGGGGGAGCATGGGGCCCGACCCCCCCCCCCCCCCCCGAAATCTTTCATTTTGATGGGGCCTCCTCTCCCTTTCCCCCTCATACAGCATTTTGTCATAGGCGGCCCGCCCCTCACCCCTCCCCCCCCCCCCCCCCCCCCCCCCGAAACAAAATCCTGGCTACGTGCCTGGCACCTGTCGACATAGGCTTGCATACCATTATCTTACAATGTGTATTAAATAAACAAAACCCTTTCTGTATGATGTACCACCCTACAGCAATCCCGAATGGGATTAGTAGTACTGGAACTAAATAAACAAATAAATAAACTTTACATGTCGAGACCGTGATCGTCTGTGCTCAGACCAAGACCCGCAATCGTGCTGCACGCCGAATTGTTCTTCGAAACGGCCATTGCGACAATAGTAGACTGTAGACGTGTGCGCTGTCTGCAGGCGATCATACCGTCTGTCTCAGAAAATCTAACTCAACTGTTTCCTGCGAAAAACTACGCATCCCACAGACAAAAAAATCCGTACTGTATTGGCCTTGGGGCCAGTTGAACGATATCATTGCGTTTAGGACAAACAATTGTTCAATTAGTAATGATAACGCATATAGTGCAAAACCTGAGACTATGGTGCGGAAAATGATTAAGAACTTTCCAAGTCAATAAAAAAAGACTACAAAAAGAGTACGTCTGGAGACGTTCTCTTACTTTTGGTATTCTCTTCGACATGGAATTTTTTTGCAACATTACACAAGTGTTACATTGAGATAAGTATCATCTGCTTTCCTGCACAGCCGCTGTGTTTTTTTTTTTTCTTGTTTTTTTTGTATAATGTGAATTAATAACTAGATTGGCTCAATCGAGAACTACGAGAAAAATATAAAAATGCTTAGATCTTTAGGAAAGATTCAAGCATTTAACCATGTCCATGACCTTTTGTAACTAGGTTGTTCTTTTGTTGTTGTTGTTTTTTTTTTGGTAGAGACCGATTAGATAAACGTCTTTTACCGTGCAATGCTTAGCTTTATAAAAAACAAAAAACAAAAAAAACTTTGGCCCCTGTTTTGTGAGACAATCCCAGCTAACTTTATTGTATGAAATTTACCACTATAGCCTAACACTTAAGTATGCACTTTTTCTCCCACCAGTTGGATTTTTTTTTCAAGATTTGACAACTCGCGTAAAATTGGACCCAATGCATCGACCACTTTATATGCCAACTCATCGATCCTGCTGATGATCTCGGAATGTATCGGCTTACCAGACTTCATAGTCACTGCACGAAACGCAGATTGTTTCAAAAAGCCTCTAGCTATCTACTTAGCATTACACTAACGTTTCTGATATTTAAAGGTACTTTTTATCTTGTTTTTCGAGTATTTGCATTGTACATAAATTGACATCTGCATTTATCATTGAAGAGCACTATATTTAGTACTACTTGTGTTGTGCTGACTACTTGTATTCATATTTCTAAATGTATTGACATCAGTAGTTTCTAGTCAATTTATTTGTTTGTTTTTGTGAACGTACATTTTGTATTTTGCCTTCTATTAACTTTTTATACTTTGTACATCTCGTGTCGCCCATACCTCGTGTAATGCCCTGTTAATGTCCCTCAGGGAACAATAAACATGGTGAGCAACGTCGTATCTACGACATCGAGCAGGGATAAGACAAGTGAGTAGGTGGGCAAAGCTTCAGGGAGGCGTCAACGACGCTTCCGAAACTACTCGAGACAGAAAATGTCTGCAAAGGGCCATAGGGCTTTGTTAAAACAACACAATGTTTTCCAGACTGCCGCATTTTACGGCAGCTCCTAGGGACAAAGAAGAAAAATTAAGGTCGTTGATCGGCAGTTTCGACTCCTTCTGAAGCGGTCGAGCTGAGGTATACGGAAATAGGTAAAGGAGAAAGACACCAATCGGTTGTTCTTGACCCTTTGCCGCTGGCTGCGTCAGTCTATGCTCTAAAGACGCTTTCAGGCAGCTTTGCATGGGCGCCTCTCTAACCAACCTTCAGTTTTTGTTTCCTCTTATTCAGTTCGCTTCACGTCATCATTACCACAGCAGGACAGGTTATCGCCACTTTAGGTGCTGCTGCATCCTTCTCCCGAGCATAGGCCTCTGTGTAGGCTCGTAAACGACCGCTTCAGTGGCTCGGCATCTCGGTAAAACAAGAGAAGGTCAGCAACGACGGCTCAATCTGATGGGCGTCCAAAGCGTCTATACTTCGTTTCACCTTTAGAGCGAGACTAGAAGCTCCGCCTTCAAAGCCATCTTTCAGCCCTAACACAAGTGTGAACGCTCAGGCACGCGCAACAAAAGCACCGCGGAAGCCAGCGAGTTCGCGTTGAAGGCGGAGCTCCTTCTAGTCTCAGCTTAAGAGTGAACGGAGTACAGTTGAAGTGCATGGATACCGATAGCTTCAGTCTTAGTTATACGCTAGATGGCCTGCCTTTGTTTCGGAACGTGGCGGGCCGATTCGGTTTGGGCCGGATTTTAATGGCCTCTTGGGGCCTTCACTGTTTAGTAGGCGCTTAGTAAGACATTCAGGATGACGTTTATCTATCATTTGAACGAGCTGAAACAATATTCGGTTGGAGTTTTACAAACAGCACGTCACTTAGTAAATCATAAAAGAATAGCACACGAGGGTAGGGAACTTGAAATATGACTTTTGACATAAAAATGAATAAATAAGAGAGCACAATTTCTTCCTTTTTTTGTCGCAAAGCTTTCTGCCGTGTTACCGCGATGCTTTCGCAGTGCTCATACGTCAGCCGAATCCAGCTGGCGAATTGGATAGATCACTGCGTCACTCGTCGGCGAATATTTAAGTTCGCGGCGTTCGCGGCCGTTTACTGCCCTAATTGAAATGGGTGAACTATAGCCTTCTTGCACCTGACGTCACTTCCGGTTTGACTCG